CTCGATTTCTGTATGCGCTTTTATTGTGATTTCAAAAGATTCAACTGCAACTGTTAAATTAAACAATTGCAAATAGCAGCTAACTTAATTCCTGTGATGTGTGTACTGCTAGGCGTCTTTGGTTTCCTCTTTTTGTGTAATTTAAATGGTAAATTGTGCCTTTTTATCGTATGAGTCACTTATCAAAAGTTGCTAAAAGTTGCCAAATAAATTTTAAAAAACAGCTCAATTTGTTGCTAGGTGCTTTTGGAAGAAAAAGTTGCTACACTGTTAGACTCTTTATTGTATTTTTGCGGTAACTTACTGGCAGCACTATTGCCAGTAAGTTACTGTAACTACCCCTTTACAGCAGCATATGGCAAGTTCATTTTACAGTATAATGCCCTTACCGCAATTTCATTTTACAGTATGATGGCCTTACCGCAATTTCATTTTACAGTGAAATACCCTTACTGCAACTTAATTTTACAGTACTATATCCTTATATCCTTACTGTAACTTAGTTTTACAGTATAATAATATTACATTACTTTTACTGTAATTTATTTTACACTATTTTAATTGAATAAATTCCAAATAAGTGACCTGAGTCCATGTACAACAGTATATTTTTTATTCACTGTCACTGGACAAACAAGGTAACAACTTGTGCAACAGCAGTTATTCCCAGTATACTAGGTTAACACAGAGAGCCATGAAAATCATGGGAGTTAAGCAGCATCCCACACTTCAGGCTGTCTTTGCTGATTTCCCCAGTAACTGTTTTTTTTTTAAATTACAGCAAAGTCTAACAGTGTAGGGTAGTCTGAAAATTAGCAAAATTTAGCAACAAAATTGCTAAGTTGGCAATAGGGCTGCACGATAAATCGAAATGAAATCGAGATCGCGATTCGACAGAAGCTGCGATTGTCATGCGTATCTTTCAGTGAAGCACGGTTCTGTGATCAGCAGTAAATCTCCATCCAAAGGCCAGAGGGAAACCCAGAAAATGCCTATCGCTGCAGCTGAATAAACAGAAGATTCAACAGCTTTCATTAATTCAACGTGACTAATAAACACACGACTACGGCAATATACGGTTTATCTGAGTTCTTATTATTATAATTTTCATTAAAATAAAGTATATTTATAATGCAATGCCTTTATCACTGCTTAAAGGGATAGTTCACCCAAAAATGAAAATTTGATGTTTATCTGCTTACCCATGTAATTTTAATAGAACCGCATGTCTTCTTTAGTGATACAAGCTCAGAAACATTTATAACCTGTTGACTTTTTTTATGTTGTGTATTGACTTGGTTCCATGATGGATATTGAAATGTTATTTTATTTTTCATTTAAACAGTATAGATGATTTCTTAATGGTAATACAATATTTGTGAACACAACTGTGTATGTCAGACTATAAATCCCCAAAAACTATGCATGGGGGCTTGCTTTGGTGTTGCCACCCCTCATAGACCCCATGGCACCCTAAAATTATTTTCTAGATCCGCCCCTGGTGTGCTTGCACCTTCACCTTTGAGAAGATCTGTTTTTGTGCTGTTTCTTTGTGAGAAGTACATCAGGGAACTTTTTTTTGTCTCTGATTTGTGTTTATCGAAACTTTCAAAAGTCTTTCAAAACTTACTGGAATAGACATCATAGATGAGTCTGTGACACCCAGAAATGCCGAGTGGCATGTTGGCAGCTCACTATATTTTGAGGTACAGCCCCGTCTAACCTTCATCTATCCTTTGTCAGATGAAGGGACTTTTTTCTGTTTTCGACTCTTTGCGGTAAAGGCGTGAAAATCAATAGTATTGTGATTATTTTGTGTTGAATAGATACGCTCAGGCTCAGTATCAATTTTAATTATTATTGTGCATGTCAAGGAATTGGCTTTCTAAAGCTCATTAGATGGCATAATAACTTTCTTCTTCAGTCAGAGAGCATTATGTGAAGTGTAGCACAGCTGCACTGGTTTGAAATGCCTCGAATGTGTTTGCTTTTGTATTATGGGAAGGGCAACTGACATGTGGTTTTAAGTTGATCATATTTGAAAGTTATACACAGTTGGGATGGTTCACCCAAAAAATTTAAATTCTTAGTCACCATCTACTCACCTTCATGTCGCTCTAGACCCATATGACTATATTTAGTTCATGAAGCATACAATGAGAACAGTCTTCAGAAGACTTAGATTATAGCACGCAAGCACACTTTATAGTGCATTTTTTAGCTCTACAGCATCTTTTCCCATTCACATTTATTTAAATGGAAAAGTGAACATTCTGTTGGTTCTGTCGGGTGTTAGTTCGTTAGAGTTTTCCCTATTTTCTTCGCTTTCAAATGCCGTGCGCATTTTACTTTCACTTTCAAATTAGCAGCAATTGAATTGCCGCAATTCGGTGTCAAGCAATTGTTCGTTTGAGTTTTCCCAGATTTCTTGGCTTTCAAATAGCTTGAAAAAGCGCAGTGTGCGTTTTACTTGCACTTTCAAATTAGCGGCAATTCGGCGTTGATTCAATTCAAGCAACAACAACGTCAAACTCAGAACTTTTATTAACAAAACGAATAAAATACACCATATATGCCTAATAAAATAACAAATTACTTGGGCTACACAAAGTTTAAATAGGTATATAAAACTGAAAATCAGCAAACACTGTGGAACCAAATAAATAAAAAACAGAGAACGTAGGCCTGGGCGATAAAACGGTATCAATATTTATTGACAGTACACCTTCTTCGATATCGATAGAAAAAATGTTCGATATAGCGCACGATATAGGCACGTACTATGAGTGACGCAGACAGCACACACAAACACGAATACATGCTGAATTGAGAGCTGTACCTGCCTGTGATGAAGAGATTGTGAGTAAAGAATGAATATTAGTCGAATTTAAAATAAACATTTGCATTTGAATGTTAGGAGTGCGTCAGGGAGCGTCATCAGTGGAGCACGAGATG